CCGCGCGCGAGTCATTAGAATCTAAACATGCAGATTTTTTCAGTACTCTCTCCCAATTGAGATTTTGTAACGATGGCTTTTTCGTAAGATTCCGGAGGACGGTATTTGCCTCCCGGCCGTGATGTGCTTCGAACGGCGTTATTTTGAGTGTAGCGTTAGGAGCAAATCTAAGAGCACAAAGCGCGCGTTCTACCATAGTCTCGAGATTACCATGATCTTTTTCTTTCACGGAAGTTAAAACAAAATTTTTCAGACTGCCAATTGTACGTTCTACACAGCCAGTGGCTCGGTGATCATTTACGGGTGGGGGGAGTAGACAATTTCTAATCCCTCGGAATTACCAAACGATTTTACCGCTTTTGACATAAAGCTAGAACCCTGATCCATGAAAACATTTCTAGGCACACCGTGATGAGAAATACATTGTTTCATAAACCTTAGAACTTTATCACTCCAATTATTCCCGAAATCATCGCCAAAATGGCCATCGCGAAAACCGATCCACCGTCAAAAAAAAAACGTATTTATTTGACTGATTTAGATACTTAATTGGGCCACAAAAATCTAATTGCAGACATTCGTTAGGCTCCCTTGGTTCGTAAACCTTCCCAATATCAAATTTGGCGCACATTGGTTTAAGGCTTTTACCTGATTCGGTGCACTCTTTGCCACCATCCGCGACCGCCACCAAACTCCGGTGGATGTAGGGGAACACACGTTCCTCGCCGCATCGAACATATTTGTCTGGCCGTGATGAAAACAATGGATTCGGTTGACCACCGCCTTTCTCAGAGGAACCGGGATGAGGAGTCGTTCGTCCATCCACAGACAATTTTCACGGACGTGAAAGTCGTGATTGTGCTATCCCAAATAAGCACCCATTGCTCGGATTTTCTTCTCAATCTCTGGATCTTTAGTTTGCACCAATTCCTTGATAGCACTCATTTGAGGCTCTCCCATGTAGTTGGCCTCCATTAGTTTGAGATTAAATAGCTCTGGCAAAGCGTCGTTCTTCCGAACAATTTCACAGTCCCGTTGAAATACGGACATAACCACGTTTGCCGGGTACGTTGCAGGAAACAACTACCCCCCCCCCCCCAAATGCCGATGGAATGGAATTAACACTGTTGCATTTCACATCTCTGGTTCCTGTCGTCACCTCCTCCAATCTCGCATCGAACACTTCCACCTCCCTGATGCTCATTCTGGTAATCTCTGGATATCGTAAAAGTAATTTATTTAATTTTTTCAAGTTGGTGTTCGTCTTTGTTGTTTGAAAAAGGATTGACGGCAAACTGACGTAATTGACACTCGGTAATCGATTTGACTATTTTCGCGCCTTCGCGGTAATTGCACTCAATTATACGCGTTGCTGCATTATGATTGGTCAAAAGATGATCACGTGTTTTTCCGCCCTCATCCGGTAGAAACTTGATCCGATTTTGTGCTCATTAGCTGAAACAATTATTTTTTTGACTTGCTAATGGCCACTTAGGTGGTTTTCTCTACTTGGTAACCGAGGGAATTGGTAATTGATCTCAATTTTGCAACTGTGAACGTATTAGCATGAAGGCTCACTCGCGTAGCTTCCCCCACCGGATGCCTTGATAAATTATCGGGCAGGCCCCTGGCATATGTTCAATAACAAAATCAAATGGAATAATTCGATCAATCTAGCGGGCCAGGCGACTAAACATGGTTTTGTTTTTCTTATCGTTTCCATTTAATAAGGTTACTAAGGCTTTATTATCTGTTACCACAGTAAATTGCCTACTAAAAATGTAAATTCTGAAGTATTCCGAACCCCAGACCACGGCCAACAATTCCAATTCATTGGTTGAATAATTCAAAAACTCATTCAAAAACCGGGACGATTTAGGCCGCCATCCTTCTGAACCGAGCTGTTCAAGGACTGCTCCTAGGCCATTATGGCTCGCATCACACACAGTTCGGATAGCTTTATGCACGTCAAAGTGTCGTAATTCTACAATATTCGCGACTTGTTTCTTTAACATTTCAAACGCTAACTGACATACGTTTGTCCACAGGAATTAATTTTTCTGGCTTAAAAGCGGTCGCAATGGCACTGAACATTCCGCTAGTGATGGTAGATATTTGTGAAGACTATATATTGAACCCATAAATGACTTTAGTTGTGATAACGACCTCGGAGCGGCCAGTTGATCAATCGGATCCGTCTTTCGAACCAACGGAGTAATACCAGGTTTCGTGATCCGGTGGCCCAGCCATTCGCATTCAGTTCTCGCAAATTTCAAATTTACATTTTTCTAATTTTAGTGTCATATTTTCTTCAACAATTTTCTTCAAATTTTTTTCTACTAGAGCAATGTGTTCAATTCTAGAGCTTTTCGATATAACCAAAATGTCGTCGATAAATGCGTGCGCACACGGGAATTCCAAAAAAAATGCGTCCATCACCCGTTGAAATTCCGCCGGCAGAGTTGTTAACTCGTAAAATCCCGTTTTAAATCGGTACGTACCGGTAGAGCGACCACCTTCCAGTGAAAAATTGCAGTATTGGCTAGTAGTTTCATTTAGAGGTAATTGTCAGTAAGCGTATGTCAAGTCCATTATTGAAAAAAAAACATCCCTTGCTTTCGTTTACTTATCGTTTGCCCCACAATGTCCATTAGCTCTTCAATTTAGGACATTTTTTTTTGTTTTTATGGACTTGCTGATTCAGCTCTTTTGGTTCTATTGCCAGTTTTAGCGAGCCATCCTTTTTCACAGTAATGACGATCGGGGAGACAAAGTATTTATCGGAACATTCTTCTAATTTTTGAATATGCCCTCGTGCCAAGAGTTTATAATTTTCTTTGTCTACAATCTCTTGCAACGTTATGGGCACTCTTCTGCCTTTTGCTGGATTGGTATCAGGTTCTTGAAAAACTCAGCTTGAACTTTATAGTTATGACTGAGCCCTACCCTGTGAAAAAGATGAAATGGCTTACTGAAATGCTTCTGCCAATCATCAAGATCCTCTCCTTGCTCCGCAGTCTCGCCCTGCTTCTGGACATTGTGCACCCCATGCTCCGCTGGTGCTTGGACCAACATTAACCCCAGCTCCGACATCAAAAATCGGCCAATGAGGGATGGCCGACTACCTCCGAATATATTGATGTTTTCTTTTGTTGTCCGTCCATTGGTCTGGAGTGTAACGACCATCGTTCCCATGAACTTCATGGATTATTCTCGTAGTCCCGGAACTGGTCATCCTTCGGATCCAACAGCTGCAGACGCACATTACAAGTCCCTAAGGTACGTTTTAGTTACCCTAAAGTAAAATGGAATTAGGCGATCTGCTATCAATCCAGCCCTGGGTTGCGTACCCGTTGATTCGTAACGCCAATTTTGCCCCGCGACTTTCAATTCCTCCTCCTGTTTCCGCCGAACCGACATAACAACATAATTTGTTGTACTATCTGAATCCCATCCATGTGTTACCGCGTTCGAGTCCTTAATTTGATACGTTCTCCTCCGGAGCGCTCTGACGAAGCTCTCCTTCGATGCCATCTTCGTCAATCAACCCCACGCGTCCCCTTTTTGCTGCTCTGCGACCCCGACACGTCCGCTCATAATGTCCGGTTTTCGACAAAAATTTCACGTAGCATTGCTGCATGCTTGTTCATGAGCAATATGCTCTGCAGTAAAACCACTCTGATCGCAGTTAGAACACTTCCGGTCCGCTCCTCCGCCGCCCCGGTTATTGCCTCTGCCAAACCCTCGTCCACCCTGAAAAGCGTTAATTGGCTATGTTTTTATCTGCAACGCCCCCGCGCTTGCCGCCGCGGAACCACCAACGGAAGTTTTATACGTTTTGGCATATTTGTCCCCTCGCTTATATGACCAGGCAAATCAGTAGACCTCATCCGGTGTCTTGGTTGAACAACAGAGTTCCGTTTCTGCTTCCTTATTAGACATATTTACTGTAAATACCTCAGTAAAATTCGTCGCTCTAGAGTTCCTAAAGCACATCTGGCTGCTAACCCGCTCAATAGTGAGTGGAACGTTTCCAGTGTCTTCCCTTCCCGTTGCTTCCGGGCTAGTAATTGAAACGTCTGGAATGTCTCATTTCTTTCCTTCCTGAATACGCTCTCAAATTCGTCTAACACTCGTGGGTATCCGGTAGCGGCCAGATCCAGGCGAGGCTTTCGGTTGTGAATTTTTTCCTGGCCGCGTTCCCCCAGACAAAGATAAATGTTAGAAATTAGGGTTTGTTCCGCCTCCGGACGATTTTTTCCGCTCACCTCCGCCGGAAGATCCGCAATCTGCGCGTCGGTCAACGTCCGAGCGAAATAGAAAGCCGCCGGATTGAACGAATGTTTCACTATTACCTCCCCTGCCCCCATGTAAAACGGGTAATCCAGTGCTCCCACAGCATTGGTGCTTCCGTGCACCTGCTAGGCCAAAATGCCATAATTCCGAGTAGGTTTTTTCCCGTCCCCGCCGTAACCTGCTTGCTGCACCATGTGAAAAACGCGAAAACAATACGGTAAATTTCTTAATGATAGTCCTCAACTTAAATCATAACTCATAATAGCTCCAACTATTTCAGATGACAAGCGTACACGACCACCGCTGACAGGTACTAATCAAATGGCACCAAGGTCTTGGCTAGCACCAGTGGCACCAGAAATCAAACTCTATATATAAACTAATTGAACTCAATATGAATTATATATGTATACATAACAGGACAAAAACAATCCACGATGGCAATTTGACCTGCCTTTTTTCAGTTAAACTATTTCTTGAGAGAAAAATTAGTGCAGTTTTTTGGTTTGTTTGAAACTATTATTTCATAGTTAAAAAACCTAACCCATGCCACAACCATAGGAACAGAGTAGAGCCCAGAGTAATACTTATCATTGTTTGCTGCTATTATGACGATAAAAAGTAATCCAACCCAACCCCCGCCCTGCTAGTAATCCAACCCAACCCCCACCCAGGTGTCTCTGTTAGAGGTGTTCAGATGGTTTTCATCCCTTGAATTTGCCGCCATTGTTTCTGATCCACCTGATGTATTTTATCACATTGGTATAAACTCCTGGCTTTTCAGATAAAGCACAGTTTTCTCCCCACGAAACAATTCCGGTGAGTTGGAAGAAACCACCTGGATTCTGAAGCACCAGAGGTCCTCCGGAGTCCCCGTAACAGGCATCTCGACCCCCCTCTTTGTATCCGGCACAGATCATGTTCTCTGTAACGTAGCCTCCAAACAACTCGTTACATAAGTCTCTCGGGATCACTTTGACCTTGACATGTCTCAAAACGCCACTCTCTCCAGTTCCTAGTGTAAGCCCCCGCCCCATGGTAACAAGTGTTTCACCTCCCTGAACTGTAGTTGCTGGAAGCGCTATAGGTTGAATCAGATTGTTGAAGGGAATCGCTATTCTGAATTTCAAAAATGCGATGTCGTTGTTGTATGATTCAAGGTCAAATTCCGGATGCATAATTAATTTATTTAGGCGTCTTATCTGTATTCCGACTTCTGCTATAGATTGACTTCTTGCACCAAAGGCAAGGCTTAGATTTTCAATACATAGTCCGTCCACGTCAAAACAATGAGCCGCCGAAATGACTGTACGTTCGTCATACACAACTCCCCCACACCAATAACTGATACCATAGTAGAAATGCAGAATACCCACCATAAAAGGATAAAATCCTTGTTCCCGAACGAATTCTCCTCCAACAATTCGTTTCTCAATGTCGGAGTTACAATGAGACTCTTGGAGAAAGACGGCTAGCAAAGAAATCAAACTTGGCAGTTTCATCGTTTTTTGTGAGTTAACTTGGAGTTAGATTTAAATGAAAAAGTTCTGAGTTTAATCAAATAAAAACTAACCCGATTCGCTTCTTAAATTTGATCTTTCCTTTTGTTTATTTTTTCAGCTGTTTTTCATAAGGCTTTGAAGTATTGTTGTTTTTTTTTGTCAGCTGTTCAACAAAAACATTTGTGCTCGAACCATGTTTGCATCTCTTGTCGGTAAAAAGTTTTCTTTTTAACGGCTTTTTTGTTAATATCTAAAGATGAAAGGAATTACGTGCTCTATCGATACGTACCTCATTGATACTAAAAACATCTTTGATTTCAATATAACTGCGAGATTTTTGTCATTTTTCTTGAGGGTTTTCTTATTTGACCCAATGATTAGTTGTTTGTTATTGTTTCGACTTCCGAAGAAAGTGTGGAATTCTGTTGCTTGGTGTAGTTTTTAAACTGGGTAATTGAAGAATCCTTTTCTGTTAAAGCTATCATTTCATAAAAAGAATTATCAAGCGTTAACCAAAAAATTGTTTTAAAAACAATTGACAGTAATTTGTATGAAAATTTATTCATAAAAATCAGAAAAATTAAGAATTGTCAGTCAAATGATTTAAAAAACCGTTTGAGTATCCATATTAAAACATCACGATACTTCTAATGTATTTTAAATATTATAAATTTTGCAAAAAAATTGCTAAAATGTTTTGTTTTGAGGGCATGCTGTGTTTTTGAAACTAAGTCTGTCGGGATATTTTTATCAATCAGTACTTTGCCTTGAAACACCTTTCGGTGAGTGACAAAAGGCGGGTCTGATCCATACAGTAAACTTCTTAGGTAATTATGAGAGACAGTAAAGCAAATAGAGCAAAGCAAAGCACCAAACTGGAAGAAATCTATTAGCCGAATGATTTAAACTTATTTTTGTTCCGCTTTTCGAACGGATTTTTTATTTCATCTTCAAGAAAACGGAATATTTATGCTTTAAGTGTTTTTTCTCAGTCAGTTTTTAGAAATATAGTTACAAGATACATTTTCTTTGAAATCAAATATAATTTTTTTATCTCTTATCATTTTTGTATCAAAATTTGTAGTTTTTCAATATTTTTTCCCCAAAACTCTATTCGACATGGATTAGGAGGCAGTCGGAACATTCAGGATTTTGTCTTGATATACGATATACAGTCTTGTTAGAGCAGTTAGTCTTATGTTTGTTCAATTTGCGGGCAAACTAGGCGTGGAACGATTAATCATTTACCGCCTAACTTGTTCAAATATGCGCGAAAAAGTTCTTCATTTGGTTTGTTTTGCTTTTACTAAGTTCACTGTCTAGATCACATTCATTTCTTGATTATTCGACCAGATGTCAAATTAAAAGAGAAAAGTTCAGCTTGTTTACTTCCGTAATATAATCAGGTAATAACTTTTTTTGTGGAGTCCGAATTGTGGACATAATTATATTTACCGAAAAAACCTTCCAGCTTTCATTTTTAATCGGATTGAGCTGCTCACTTTATGTTTCGACTTTCAAAGACAAGCACATGTCAGTTTTCGACCGAAAAAGACAAGTCGAGATAGGGGTTTGAGTCGAACAGAATTTCGAAACATACCTCGAGCACGTTCGAGCACAGTCGAGCACGGTCGAAACATACCTCGAGTACGGTCAAAACATTCCTCGAGCGCGGTCGCAACACACCTCGAGCACGGTCGAGAACATACGTCGAGCACAGTCAAGCACGTTCGAGCACAGTCGAGCACGGTCGAAACATACGTCGAGCACGGTCGAACGACACCTTGGACACGGTCGAAACAAACTTGAGCATGGTCAAAACATACGTCGAGTACAGTAAAAACATACCTCGAGCATGGTCTAACCATACCTCGAGCACAGTCGAAACATACTTCGAGCATACGTTTTTGTATAAATATAAAAATGCATATAATTTCAAAACGAAAGAATTTTATATATATAATCAATTTAGGACCATTCTAAGGGCGGATATTTTTGCCATGCATCAATAATTCGCGTACTAAAACTGCCAAACTAATATAAGAGCACGACGCCATCTGCATTTTCTCTCGCATGGTAATCCAGTACTCGCTTGGCAGTCGAAAAATTTTCAGATTGATGCGCATACAAGGTCAATGTTTTACAACTGGTCTGAACTAAAAAACACGTAAAAGTTTTAGATTCTCAATTCCCTCCAATTAAGATTTGTGTTAGTTTAAGATGTCATCTGAAAAAAACAAGAAAAATAAGTATTGATATCAGTTTCTAACAAAGGAGGAGGATTGGCACAAAAATTATGTCTTGGAACTGCATAACTGAGTATTGCTCGAAAAACTTTAAACTTTGGTTAACTTGAAATTTGGACTGATCTATGTTAACCCTAGTACTTTTTGCCTAATTTTTTTCAGCAAAAAAGTTTATTGTGACAGAGAAAACTTAATTATTTGGAAATTAAATGAATTTATTGTTGCCAGCAGTTTTGACTTCGCTCAGGTTCATCACTGAGAGAAAAATTTGGTTTTGAATACAGACTTTTGTTTTTTTATGGGTCTTCATTATAGTGCAATAACTGCAAAACAACTAATATGTTAGAAAAAATTTAACACCGCGATTGTGCCGATCCATAACTCATGTTTGGTAGATGTTTCTACTTTAAGCGCTACTTATTAGGCCTGTATCAAAACATTATTGCATCAATTTAAACAATAAGCATTAACTCATTGAAAACGCTAAAACTGGCCAATTGAAAAATTTTTTAAAAAATGCCTCGACAAGTTAGTGAAATTTTTTTCAGCACAAGGACGCTACACCAGATGTTCAAACTTATAATTTGAGTTGTCTGTTCGCTCGGAAATTAATCAAATGGTTGTTTTCGACTTAGTTTTTTCTATGAACTCATGAAAGATGGGGTATAAAGATTGGAGAGCTGAACTTATGAACTTGTGAGATAGTGTAAATTGATAAAAAACTATCGATTGAAATTTCATTTTAATATGAGCCCTTTTATTTAGAACTTTTTAAGAAACAATTGGGGAAATGTGAAGCACTCTTGTATCCTGTAAGACTCGGGCTAAAAAACCGGCTGAAACATTTGTAACTTATCGGCTTTTTTAAACAGATTAAGATGAAATGAATATCATCCGAAAAAATAAGGTTAACATTTTCCGGTTATCGTGAATTCAAAAACGTTCTCAACAACCTCAAAAATCTGTAAACATTTTTGATGGCAAGCTGAACTTAATCGGACTAAGCAGTAATTTCAAGGCCGTGTTTGAAAACTTAAATTTAGCGTTATAATTTTCGCGCCAATAATGACGTGATCAATTTAAGCGCGAACAGGAAAGGTACTCTTTTGTTTTCTACTGAGGAAACAATGACTCAATCAATTGACCTTGAGTTAACAATTTTAAAATCGGCTTTTTTCAAACGACAAAGAACAACGCATGCACCTCATAAATTTAAATGCCCGCAATGAAATTTTACTTTTTCTTCTCATTAAAATTATCAGTCAGGTTTTAACAACCTTGGCAAAAAAAACTTCAGCTTCAAAAAAATCAGCTTTCAATGGCTACAACAAATATTTTTCTAAAGTTTTCTGTCATATGCTACACTATTGAAGCACAAAATTTGGAACAAAGCTGCTCGTATCAGGGCGAAGTCTTGAATGTTCCGACTACCTTTTAAGTTCTATGGAGCAGCATTAGCATGAAAACTTTAATAATAAATTGTTGTTTTAAAAAAACATCCCCCCACGCGACATATTAAGTACAAAGTGATAAATTTCCTTCCTACTAGCAAATCAATTATGGCATATAAGCTTCCTTGAACCAGTTTGGAACGATTTTAAAAAGATTTAAATCTCCGCTTACGCGTTGATAGCGCGAATTATATCGCGCGTTCATTGTTTCAAATTGGCCGAAATGGCAATCTTTAAACCCCCATAACTTTCCGAAAAATGATCACAGGTGAAATATATTTTCAAATTTAGGCTCAACAATAGCTTTCAAATTATATAAAAAAAATTCCGTTAAAAATGATTAGTTAAAAGTCGAAATTTGTCTGAAGAAAAAAAACCGACCCCGAGCACAAATACTCCGAGCACAAATAAGTTTATTGTGGCAGAGAAAAATTAATTATTCAGAAATTAAATGAATTTATTGTTGCCAAAAGTTTTGACTTCCCTCAGGTTCATCACTGAAAGAAAAGTTTGGTTTTGAATACAGACTTTTATTTTTAATGGGTTTTCATTATAGTGCAATAACTGCAAAACAACTAATATGTTAGAAAAATTTTAACACCGCGAAAGTGCCGACCCATAAATCATGTTTGGTAGATGTTTCTAATTCAAGCGCTACTTATTAGGACTGTATCAAAACAATATTGCATCAATTTAAACAATAAGCACTAATTCATTGAAAACGCTAAAACTGGCCAATTGAAAAAAATTTTTAAAAAATGCCTCGACAAGTAGTGCAATTTTTTTTTCAGCACAAAGACGCTACACCAGATGTTCAAACTTATAATTTGAGTTGTCTGTTCGCTCGGAAATTGTTCAAATGGTTGTTTTTCGACTTAGTTTTTTCTATGAACTCATGAAAGATGGGGTATAAAGATTTGAGAGCTGAACTTATATGCGATCCATTGTTAAATGTCTGCTAATTGAATATTCTAAAAGTAGCGACCGAGAACTAATTGGTTAAGACTAAAAAAGAGCTATAAGTGAACCAGTAATGTTCTGTGAGATAGTGTAAATTGATAAAAAACGATCATTTAAAATTTCATTTTAATTTGAGCCCTTTTCTTTAGAACATTTTAAGAAACAATTGGGGAAATGTGAAGCACTCTTGTATCCTGTAACTGTAAGACTCGGGCTAAAAAACCGGCTCAAAGATCTGTAATTTATCGGCTCTTTTAAACAGATTAACATGAAAAAAACAACATTTGAAAAAATAAGGTAAACATTTTCCGGTTATCGTGAATTCAAAAACGTTCTCAACAAC